CTGGTACTATTCTTTTTTTTTATTATCTAAGAGAAACAGTGACACCAAAGACAAGTGTTTCCCTTGAACCTGTCAAATGCAAGAGAGTCAAACCTTTAGGTTCACCATTGGAGAGAGAGAGAGAGAGAGAGATCCCAGAGAGAATAGAAAATTTGAGCCCGTAAGACTCTTTCTTAATCCCAATTAAATGGCTAAAGTCCACTTTCCCAGGCTTCTCCCCCTAGACTCTTCTCTGATACTAAAATGAGGAAACTGTAGTTTGTGATCACAATTTAAACTGTGGATTTGACCTTCATTTGGTTAGTTAGCCTAAGAATGGCCCACAACCAGACAAGGTCAAATTCACCAAGTATTTAATCCCTTAAACTAGCGCATCCACACCCTAGTTGTCTTACAAATGGTTCTACAGCCACAATGAGCAGAGGGCAAACATGCAGAGAGCCCAGTGGAAATGAACCTCACTAGAAAAAAATGCAAGCCCCCAACTAAACTGGCTAAAACTGACAGCACTGCCACCATCCATGATGGGCTTTACGGTTTAGTGGCTGGTCCTCTGGCACTGACCACCCAGCCCAGGTTCAGGAGGTCAAGTCTACAATCACTCACTCCCTCATTCCCAGCAAACTAGGAGTTCTTGGGCTCATTCATCCCAGCGACATAACCAAGAATGAGCCTCATCCAACATGCATTTTACACATTTGTTCCCTCTTTGAACTTGTCAGATGTCACTAAAGGTCTTCTATTAAATGACCTAGGGAATTGCCTCTCTCAAAACTCAGCCAGTCATCTCTCAGGGGACAGCTCATGACCCTAAGTTTCTAAGCAACTGCTTTAGGAAATAATACCTTGTTCTAGATTTTTAAAACTGATGAAATGTGCTTAACAGATGAGGCAAGTATTTTATAGGGCAACTCAGAAAATGCTGAATTAAACTAAAAATTACTAGGCTCGGTTTTGAAGAGTCCAAACCTAATCATGAAGTCTCCTATAGCCTCCCCTCTAAAAGACTCCCCCATTCATTTCCAAGTGCACCAATTGCCTAGCAATTCATACCACCGGTGCCTGCTGCTCTGCATGTCGCTAATGCACTCAACACAGACCTGCAGGAAACCATGGTTACTGCTCCCTACTCAGCAGACGCAGCAGCAGTGTGGAGAGCGGGCCCCCTAGCGTGCAAAGCTCTTTTCCTAGGTAATAATTCCGAACGCCACATGCAAACTGCTTTTACCATAAATTTCTCATAAAAGGAGAAAAGACCCATGTGGTGATTTCATAAGAAGATTTCCTAGCAGACCTTTATAAACACCTCTTATTGCAATGACTTCAGCACAACGGTCACAGTCCCATTCATTCAACATTTGCTGAGCATCAGACATTGCATTAGACGTGAGAACAGGACACAGGTAAACCAGAGATATGATCCGTAACCTCACAGAATTCAGACTGCAAATGAGAAGACAGATCCTCATGCAAGTAATTACATAAAGGGAGCTGCCTTAAGACAGTGGAGGTACAGAGTAGCAGCTATGTGTCATGGTTTTGTTCTAAGGGAGCAGGACAAACACTTCATTTGCTCTCTGCAAATGTGAGGCAAAGAGGAAGGGATATTGCTTTGTCCCAAGGGGTAAGAGATGACTCCCCGTTACCCTTCTAAGGAAATGGCACGGCCTCTACCAGGACCTTAAACCTGGCTCTGCCTGTATTCCCTGTTCAGTAGGTATCCTGTGGTTAATAGCTTTGGTCAAGTTTGGTAGCTTCACTCTTTAGGGGCCCTAGTTGCTTTAAGGAGAAGCTATTCTTATGGTCATTGGAAAGTCAGGACCTATTTTAGTATACTCTTCAGTGTTTCATTGTTGGCAGCATCCAGAAGTTAAATCTGTGTGTGTATGTGTGTGTGTGTGTGTGTGTGTGTGTGAGAGAGAGAGAGAGAGAGAGAGAATTTGATGGGGGAGGGGAAAGAAAATTTGCACAAAATGGTAGACTGTTTCTAACATAAGTATTAAATAACAGATGGGTTCATTTTAATGAGTAAAAGAAAACCTCAGACCCTTCTTCTGCACCCCTGAATTAATACATTTTTATTATAATGTAAATTATGAGCAAACTTACTACTAGGTATAATTCTTTAACATTTACAGCTCTTCTACTTCAACAAAAACAAACAGATCTGCAATCCTGTTGTTGTTTTGATGTAACTAATCACCAAGGTTTTCATATTTGGGTATCCGACATCCTAACCAGGAGCGTGCCTGCTCCCTTAAGAGTTACAGCATTACACCAATAGGGGTTACCATACTTTCAAAGCTTTGTTTGCTGCTTCAAGGTTATCAGATTGCATACTTAATCGAACTCTGACAAGTGAGCAATCGAAGTAACATCACAAAATTTTTAAACCGTTTGAAGCTGTTCCAGCAACCTCCAACAACACTCTCATGGTCCCTAGTTTGAGAAACACTGGTATCATGGAAAGAGCGAGACTGTGGAGCTGAGAGAGAGGAAGGTGTTAACAGCGGGAGGTTAAATCTTATGAGTCTCACATTCTTCAATCTTTCATAATACCACCTCCTGTGACAGTTCGCTGAAATGAGAAAATAAACTGTGAGAGTAAAACGAAGTGTGTATACTTTGTATACACAAATGGTAGTTGCTAGTATGGATTACAGCAACAGGAATAAAAATCTGTTAAGCAAATATTCTCTACACTTTAAGTATTTTCTGGGCTGTTTGTAAGGTACATCGAGGTCACTAAGATCTGGTCCTATCCTCGATAATCAAAATAGAGAAATCCATAAACAAAGCTCCTTCCTTTAGACATCTATTGAAATATGTGCTTTTTTTTTTTTAAGAAAGTAAAGAATTAAAACCATAAAGAATTAGCAGCTGGGGGCAGATGGGTGAGAGTGAAAAGTTTGAAACAAACAATGACCAATACCTGTGGCCAAAAGGAAAACTACCTGTTCAAATCCTTCGACGGCAATGCTTGGAATTTACTTACAAATCCACTGAGTTTTGACACAACAATGCCATTTCCCACCGAGCTGTGTACAAGTGGTCTGTTGAGTCAGGAATGAGATCGTGCAGCCCGACACCGTAAGGCCCATCCTCTGGCTCGCTCACTCCCGACTGATATGTACCACGGAGAGAAGGTCAGACTTCAAAGGGCTCCTGAATCAGAGGGTGCCGTGTCCAACCTTTGCCCAGACAACACTGCCATTTCCCGGATCTCAACAGCAGACAGCTGTTGACAGTAGTTTACCTTTTGTGATCTGCTGCCACCAGCTGTTGGTTTGGAGGACTCTGCAAGATTTTCTTTGCCGGGACTTAGGAGGGATGGTGCTAGCTTCTGTGCAGCCAGGCGGGGGCTGGTCCGAGTTGCCATGGTTGTTCTCCGTAGTATATATGGGCTAGTCTTTCCTGTTGGGATGTCCGCAAACCCTGAGGGCAAAAATGCTGGCTGTCAACACTGCTAGGTCCGATTCTATCCACAGTGGAAATGATATTCATTAGGCAAAGTTTTAACAAAGATAAAAAAATACTTTCTCCGAGCTACAGTGGACAGTGGATTAAACTTCACAGTTGCCCTGGAAGTCACCAAATTGAATCAATAACTAATAGGCTTTCTTTTATTAGAAAGATAAAAAAAAAAAAACCACAATGGGAGAAGAGGGGGAAATAAACACCACACAGAAAAATTTCTTTTCTGCTTTTTCTTCTTCTATGTGGATGTTTTACTCTGTATTTTTTTAAGATCCAAAGAACACCAGCAGGTCTTATTGTAAAATTTGGATTGGAGGAAAAAAGAGGGTAAAGTAGAAAATAAAAATCAAAAAGAAAGGGCAGCTCTTGTTTCAAGGGGGAAAATGCAAAATGGCAACAGCTACTTCAGGCCACCACTCTCGAGTAGAGACCAGGTGGGAGGAGAGACTGACCTTCCCATGGGTAAGTTCACACCCGCTCACGCCGAATCCTGCCATAGGAGGAATGGACGTGACTATCGGTGACCAAGAGGAAAAGGTCAATCCCAAGGATACTAACTCATCACACGCACTCCAGAATGGCATTCAGAGCTAACTAAAGCTGCATTTGTTTTTAACCCTTTGACTACAAATAAAAATCAGCAATGAGAGACAGCTAACTATTTTTGGACCAGTTACTCAGAACAGTGCCTCTCAAGCCATCTATGGCAAAGAATCTGTTTTGATTTTGGTGGGGGTTGGGGGTAGGTGGAAGGACTTCCAATCTTCTGTGGAATGATGCTTGGATGTTGTAACAATGTCAAATTGCTATTAAAATTTCTAAACTCTTACTCTCAATTTCTATACATTTATTGTGGACCAATACCAAACAGTTCCTAGGCAAATGGGACCACTAGGAGGGGTTGTTGTTGGTTTTTTTTTTTTTTGAGACAGAGTCTCGCTCTGTTGCCTGGGCTAGAGTGCCGTGGTGTCAGCCTAGCTCACAGCAACCTCAAACTCCTGGGCTCAAGCGATCCTCCTGCCTCAGCCTCCCAAGTAGCTGGGACTACAGGCATGCGCCACCATGCCCAGCTAATTTTTTCTATATATTTTTAGTTGTTCAGCCAATTTCTTCCTATTTTTTAGTAGAGACAGGGTCTCACTCTTGCTCAGGCTGGTCTCGAACTCCTGAGCTCAAACAATCTGCCTGCCTCAGCCTCCCAGAGAGCTAGGATTACAGGCGTGAGCCACCACGCCCGGCCAGGAGTGGCTTTTTTTAAACCACTAAGTTTAAAAACAAAGTGACAAAGAAAGTGTGGTCAGTGGCCACAGCCAGGGGGCTGGCCAGCATCACAGGGCCACCCTCCAGCTAAATGGGTCAGACACGACTAAAGGTAGGAAGGCTTGAAGGGCATTTGGGGATTTTTCAGCATAGAAATATCAAATTCTAAATAGGTTTTGGATAGTCATTTTTCTAATCTAACAGCTCTTTCCATAGTATGACATGAATAATTAGACCCTAGACATTCTCTCGTGACAGAAAGGAAAATGTATACCTCACCAATTTAAAAGCAGACTATTTACTGCTGTGAAGGGCAATTAGGATTGCTGCACAATAACATAAAAAGTAAACGCTTCTGTCTTTTTATAGGTGAATTTTTATATGAAATTTCAAAAGAACACAAATAATTTTGTTTTTGAATTATGTGTACCTTTCTTTACAACTTCTGGAAGTCCCTCTGGCTCAAACGTGGTATCTTCCGTGTCCTCTGCAGGCTGAACACCACTTTTCACCACTTTCCTAGTTTTTTTAGAAAACGTCTCTGGGGTAGGTGGTGTTGGTCCTCCACCATTCTCCCATATCCCACTGGACCTTTGCCTCTTGCCGGAAGCTTTATTTTGGCCAGATGATAACTTCTTTTCAGTAACAGAAGGGACTGGAGATGGTTCTGGAACAACTGGACTTAGCAAAGGAGAATTTCGGAGACTGTGTTTAGATTGCTGCGAACAGAGACGGGCAACTTGTGTTTCTAACATCTCGTTGGCTTTCTCTAACTTTTCATGGCTTATAAGCAGGGAACAGTACTTATCCAAGTATTCGTCTGCTTCCTTGGTTTTTTCTTCAAGAGTTTCTTTCAGTTCTTTCATCTCAGTCATTAATTCATCTACCTTACCATCCACGACAGTATCTGCCAAAATAAAGTGATACATCATATGTAATATGCATTGTGATGCAGATCACCTGAGACCTGTTCTTTGATTTTTTGGGGAGGAGTGGGGAAGATATATCTGTATATGTTCTTACAGTTCAAACTCTTGTTTGGGAAATATATCAAGGTATTAATATATATTCTCGTAGATGCATGACTTTTATTGGGATAGCTTAAATAAAATCCACCAAAATCTCAGACTCTTTTTTCAGCCAACCCTTCCCTTCCACCATAAGTAAATGAATACTAAAAGTCAATAAAGATTAAGAAGTCTTTTTTGTATGGCTTTGGGGGACAGGAGGGGGCCAATGACAAGGCAAGTCTAAAGAAAACTCTGAAACTATGTGGAGGCAATGGGGGTCTGATGGATGAGAGTTTGGGGAACACTATAAAGATGGGTGTCTTGGTCAACTTGTAGCTGCCATGGGTGGTATGGAACCCATTAGTAAAACTCCCTGCAACCCTAATCTACTCCAAGCACTCTTCCCAGTGGGGAAGCCTGGTGACCTGCCCTGCCAAGTGACAGTCGAGAGGAGCCACTCATACTACACTTGCCATCCTCTATCCACACAGTAATCCCATGCCACTCTGGGGGTGAAAGTGGAGAAAGAGACAAAGAGAGTTATCATTTCTCTTCTATTTTGCCTGCATACCTAAAAATACAGCACCCCCGTCACTTCCCCCTTTAGTGAACTCATGAGGATGGACCCAGGACAACTAGAACCAGCTATTTACAAATGACCAACGCCAGCTGAGATGCCTGTCTGCTTTTGACAAAGAAACTTCTTGACACCAGCATGAAAAACTCTTCTTAGAATGGCTCATTAGCAAAATGTACCACCAGTTTTTCGCATGTTTTATAGAACATAAGATGTAATGATTCAATTTCAAAATACAGGCTTCGTTTTAAATCCTAAAATGGTCCCAGAAATTGGAAAATGGATAACTGCTGAAAAATCAGCACTCAGTAATAGAGTAAAGCACACACACCATAAGTGTGTTATTTCGCCATTAGAAGATAATTTTGGCTAATTGATGTGCCCCAGTTAATACCCACCTGTTTTCTGCTTCTCCTGTGCAGCTTCACGTTGAGATAGTTCTTTCTGTAACATTTCCTTTTCCTCTTCCAGCTGTTTACAGGATTTCATCAACAGCTTTATTTTCCCCTGGGCACGTTCATTTTCCTTCTTTAGCTGACTTACACATTTTAGATTGTCCATCTATAGCACAAAAGCAACTCTATTTAAAGCCTTGCCTTTCCTTTTATAAGCATATGGGGAAACAATTATGAGATATAACTAAGAATCACGTATTGTAAATTTGAGAATTATTAGGTTTAAAAAAAAAATCTAAAGATGCACACAACAATTCACCTTCTCTACTCCGTTTCCTAAGTGTGCCCCGTTGACAATGTGGCTTTGTCATTCTCTTTCTTAGTTTCACAAGCATAAGTCATGGTTCCTAAGATAATGTCCTGTTAAGTGCCCACTATGTCTGTATCTATCCAATGGGAATTACACTGGACTACTGAGCAGAGTGTCCATAGACATATTCTTGGTGGGTCCAAAATTCTTAATGAGAGAATCGTGTTTTCACTTGTAAACACGATTTCAGTACCTAGCATGGCATTTGTTTTAGTCGTATCAAGTGAAGACCTAATGATATTATAGCTCACTATACCAATTTAAATTTTATAGTGGCTCAAGTAGAAAATGAATAGAAAAGTGGACGAATCGTGTCATTATACACTTCTCTCTCAGTGGTACAAGTTCACAGTTCCTTATCCACAATTCCAAAAACAGATGTGAAAATGATTTAGAGGCAAAATCTGACAGATATGAATGCATTTATAGTCTTTATTTATCCTGCCTTGTGAGACTATCCATACATTTTGCTGCAGAAATATGAATTTGTCTATGAGAGATTATCCCAGACCCCACTGGGCATTATGTAGTATATGGCATATGCATTGTATTATGCAATATCTTTTAAAAATGCAGAATTCTAAAACAATCTGATAAGGAATCACAAACACAAAAAGGAAGACCAAACACCAGCAGGAGGAGGAGGGGTGAAAAGAACTTGAGCACTATATTCATGTTGCAAGTAGATGTTACAGCTTGGATCTCATTCTCTGTATATTTCATCTTGAAGTAATTTATTAGCAATATTGTAGTAAATCTGCCCTTTCAGAACTTGCTATTTCTGATCCAATCACAAATGGATTAAAGACCCATTTAATTCAATTTCAATAGCTACTTCTTTCTATTATTAAACCCAGTATCTGTCGTTTTATAGCAGCAGAACGTTATTAATCTTTTAAC